ATTACATGAAAAAAGTCTGTAAAAACACATGGTTCCACATGCCCACTAGAATGGTTAAATCAAAAAAGACAAAACACCAAGTGTGGCAAGGATATGAAACAACTGGAATTCTCAACAGAGTGATGGTGGGAAGATACACTGACACAACCAATTTGGAAAATATTTTGGTAGTATCTACTAATGTTGACCCAGAAATTTCCCTCTTAGGTGTACATAACAGAGATGTGGGTATCAAACTGCGTTCACCAAAAGACATAGACAAAAATGTTCACAACAGCATTATTTATAAAAACTAAGAACAGGAAACTTTCCAAATGTCCATCAACACTAGAATAAATAAACAAATTGCAGTTATACTGTCCAACCATGAGAATGAATGGCTTAGCTGGGCTCGGTGGCTCAGCCTGTAATCCCGCGCCTTTGGGAGGCTAAGGTGAGTGGATTGCCTGAGCCCACGGGTTCGAGACCTGTCTAGGCAGGCAAGACCTCATTGCTACAATAAATCAAAAAAATTAGCTGGGCATGGTAGCGCGCGCCTATAATTCCGGCTACTCGGAAGGCTGAGGTGGAAGGATCGCCGGAGCCCAGCGGGTCGAGGCTGCGGTGCCCGGGAACGGCCACTGCACTCCAGTCTGGGCGACAGATTGAGACTCCAACTCAAAAAAAAAGAGAATGAATGGCTTAAAACTACATGTAACAGTATACAAAATATAAAAGAAGTCAGAAACAAGAGTATATATTGTATGACTTCATTTACATAAAGTTCAAAAACAGGAAAAATTAATCTACGATATTAGAAGTCAAGACAGTGGTTCCTATGTTGGTGAGGGGAGGCAACTACAAAGGGACACAGGGGGATTGCTGGGGTGCTGGTAATGTTTTATGTCCTCATTTGGGTATGCTCCATTTGTGATAATTCATTGAGCTGTATACTTATTACTTGGGCACTTTTCTGTACATATGTTATACTTCAGGAAAGAAGTTCAAAACCACAAATCTGTAAGGTTCCAGAAAAGGCAATTCTCTGGATAATCTGAAGAAAGATTTGTCTGCATCACTTTACCAACATTTGCAGCAAAGCTATCCACTCTGCCAGGTGTCACAATAGCAAACAATGAAAGCCTCAATAATTCCCTGCCAAGGGTACTTGAGGTCAGGTAAGAAGAGTCTGCTAAACAGACTATTCTATTTTTAAGAGAAGAGCAATCAAGAAAGAACATCTCATTAGCAATTTATAATTACTTCCAAATCCCAATACAGAACACAACCTATTAACACTATTTTAAAAAATAAAGTTTATAAAACCATGAGCTGCTCTACTTATGTGCCTAGATTCGCAAAAAATTGAGAAAGAAGCATTAGGCTGGCCAAGGATTTTATACATTAGTTCTTCTTTCCCAAAGACTCCTACTTCAGTCTCAAGTCTTTGAATCTAAAAAATATGGGACAGGATTCTTAATGAGCAATTTCCCAAGACAAATTACTCTGGCTTCTATTTATTTGGGAGCTAATTTAACAGAAAAACTGGTCTGCCAACCAAGAGTAGATAAGGAGTGTGCAAAGTTACTATCAGGTACCACAAACTGCTAACCTGCCCAACCTTCACCTAGACTTCAACAGAGTAATAGTCTACAGTTTTGGATCTCATAGCATATTATACGTCTCTCAGAGTCTCAGTATTCCCATCTCCGTGTGCAAAAAGAATGCTAACTACCCATGAAACTACTAGGAAAAAAGATTTGGTAATATTGCCTAAAGCATTAGTAATATTACCTAAAAACGTATTAACACTACAACATTTGTATCGTTACAATTTTTTTTTTTTGAGTTGGAGTCTCACTCTGTCACCCAGACTAGAGTGCAGTGGCTGCTCCCGGCCACCGCAGCCTCGACCTGCTGGGTTCCGGCGATCCTTCCACCTCAGCCTTCCTAGTAGCTGGAATTACAGGCATGCGCTACCACGCCTGGCTGATTTTTTTATTTATTGAAGAGATGAGGTCTCGCTGCCCAGGCGAGTCTCGAACCCGCGGGCTCAGGCAATCCACTCACCTCAGCCTCCCAAAGGCACGGGATTACAGGCTGAGCCACCGAGCCCGGCTTCACTACAATTTTTAATTGAAACTGTTTTAGGAAGACAATTGGCTGTTATGGGTCAGGTGCTTTATATGATCACTAATCTTCCTCAATAATCCCATTTCATCAGTGAAGACCCTGACAGTGTGCAGGGTTAAAAAACTTGGACAAAGCCTCAGAACTAGTCACTACCGATTTGGAAAAGCTAGGATTTAAAGCCCGGTGCTATCCTCTCCAACACCAGGGTGGTAAATGTGTGGCAAGCCATGACTTCCTCTGGCACAAGGGCAGACATCACAGATCAAGTAAGACAATCTTTCTTGTCTATCCCAGAGGCAGCCTCAAAATCCCTCTCAGGAAAGATCTCCAGGATACAACAAGGGAGAAAAGAAAAATGAAGAAGAGGACACATAGTAAGCATACACTTGTGACAGAAGGGTTGGGGATAAGAATATACAGTCTCATATACTTGTATCAGAAATGTTGGAAGTATACACAAGAAAGCAGTAAGAGTGATTACCTATGGGAAGGCAAAGGGGGAAGAAAATGGGGTATTGGGGGACAGGGTGCTCTAATTCTTAAATCACACAATTACATTGCCTCTATTTTTTAAATTAAATTTTAAAAAGAGGAGAAAATTCTCATCTTAGCACTGCCACCAATCAATTAACACTGGCAATTAACACAGATGCTATTTAACGTACCCCTTCTAAAATCACTGTTTCAATATCTCCCTAATACTTCCTTAGCTAGAACCAAATGATTTGCTCAACAAAAACTATTGGCATCTACTATGTTGCAGAGACCCTTGCAAGAACTGGAGACACAGGAATAAACAAAGCAAGCAAAAATCCTTACCTTCATGGAGCTTTCATTCTACAGTGAGAAAGATAATATACAATATAAAAACATAAAAATATATAGTACTATGGCACATGGGAAGAAGTGCTAAAAATAAAATACAGCAATAAAAAAGATACAGAAAGTGTTGAATGAGAAGGGGGTGGTTTGGATTTAAAGACCCTCACTAAGATGGAAGTGAGAGAGACAGCCATGCAGTTCTTCGGGGGAAAAGCATTCTAGACAGAAGCGGCAGAAAGCACAGAGGACCTGGGGTGGGGGCCAGCTTACCAGGTTTGTTCAGGAACCTGCTTGAACCTGGAGGAGCAAGAGCAATGGGGAAAGTAGCATAAGATGGAGAAGCAGTAAGACCAGGTCATGAAGGGTCTCTCCAGTCATGATTTGGCTTTCACTCCCAGTAAGATGGGTGTCACTAGAGGGTCCTGAGCAGAGGAGTGACACAATCTAACCTGTCTTAATAGTACTGCTCTGGCCGGGTGCAGTGGCTCACACCTGTAATTCCAGCACATTGGGAGGCCAAGGCAGGAATAATGTTTGAGCCTAGGAGTGCAAGACCAGCCTAGCAACATAGCAAGACCTCATCTCTACAAAAAAAATTTAAAATTAGCTGGGTGTGGTGGCACATGCCTGTAGTCCCAGCTATGCAGGAGGCTGAGACAGAAGGATCACCTGAGCCTAGGAGGTCAAGGCTGCAGTAAGCTATGATTGTGACACTACACTCCAGCCTGAGTGACTGCGTGAGATTCTGACTCAAAAACAAACAAACAAACAAAAAAACCCCAAATAGCATTGCTCTGGCTGTTGTGTTGAAAAAAGACTATAGCAAGGTAAAAGAGAAACCTGTGTGGTCAGCAGCCTCTAAGATGGCCCCAATACTACCCTCCTGGTATTTGAGTCCTTGTATAATCCTCTCCCCTTAAGTGTAGGCCAGATTCAGTGACTCACTTCTAACCAACAGAGGTGATGAGATATTACTTTTAAGATTAAGTTACAGAAAGGCAGTGGTTTGTCATGGGGCTCTATGGCTCTCCCTTGGGCACCTTTCTCTTGTTCTAGGGGAAGCAAGCCATCATATTGTGAACAACACAATGGAGAGGCCCATTTGACAAGGAATTGATGTCTTCAACTAAGAGCAAGAGAGGATTTAAGGCTTGCCAGCCAAATGAATGGCCGTAGACTCTTCATGGTGAGCCTTGAGTCCAGCCTTGGCAACACCATGATTCCAACCTCCAGGGACCCTGAGACAGAAATACCAACCTAAGTTTAACACTTGTTTTCAACAACTAGAGTTTGGAGTAATTTGTTACACAGCATTAGATAATTAAAACACCAGTTGGAGGCTACTAGTTCAATAATCCAAGCAAGAGATGGTGGTTTAGACCTGAATGCTAAAAGTGGAGGTAGTGAGAGGTGTTTGGATTCTGGTATATTTTAAGGTTGGGTTAACTGAATTTGTCAACATGTGACGGAAACTGGGTGTGAGATGGGCGAGAGGGAGATGACAAAAATGAATCTGAGGTTTTTGATCTCAGCAAGTGAAAAACTGGAATTGCCATTTATAAAGACAAGGAATGCTGTGAGAAGAGAAGGCGGGTTGGGGGGAGCTGCTATCATGACTCAGTTCTGGACATATTTAGCCTGAGATGGCTATGAGCCATACAAGGAGAACCAAGAAGGCAACTAGATACATGAGTCTGGGGTTCAGGGCAGGAAGTGTAAAGTCTGAGAGTCTTCAGTATTTAGATGTTATTTAAAGCCACAGGTCTAGATAGATGAAATCAGCAGGGCAGTGATTAAGAAACAGAAGTGGTCAAGGAGTAAGCCCTGGAGTGCTCAAACATACAGAGGTCAGGGAATTTGAGGAAAACTCAACAAAGGAGACTGAGAAGCAGCAGCCAGATCTATTGGAGGAAATCCAGGTAAATATGGCATTCTGGAAGCCAAGTGAAGAGAAGTGTTTCAAGGTGAAGATAGTGATCAGCTGTACAAAAAATACCAGTCAAGTAGACAAGCAATCTGACTTCACATTTTTAGTAAGAGTGGTTTATCTTTACAATTTTATCTACCTCGTTTTCTTGAGTAAAGTCAAGTGCATCTTCTCCTGATGCCAACAGTGTGTGCAGAATTCGCTGTTTCACTTGCTCCCACTCAACCAACATTGACTCTCGATGGTACTCCTCAGCCATGCCAAAAGTCTGTCAGAAAAGAGCAGAGACCAGTGACTCACACGAAAAACAAGAATATGGTTTCTTGAAAGTCCAATAGAAACGCAAAGCCCCCAGATCTACCACTTCTCCAGAGGTAGAACAAAAGCTGTCTACTTTAACCCTTTGCACTTGGCTGTCCCCTCTGAGGGGACATCATAAATCTAGCAAACTACTTGGATGTCTCCTCTCAGGGGACATAAGGAGATTGCTGATAATTACACAGGACAAACATGCCAGTGCAAATTTTTCAAAAATGTATGTTTCCTTGACGTTTTCCATTCAAATTGTACAAAAAAGCAAATAAAGAGATGAAATATATACTGAGATACAATCGATCAGTTGAGAAGTGGTTTTTCAGGAATCACAAGTATGTTCTTTCACACCTTCTTTGAAAACAGACTAGTCAATAAATTAAAATGACATATTAATGTGGGAAGAAGAAAATGAGACTGCATTGTCTGATTGAATAGAAAAACACTAGGTGGAAGATACCAAACAAATTCCTATTGTACAACATGTATCAAGGAATTTACAATGCATGTCGGTGACTGTTTCACACATTAGAAAAATATAAAATACAAAATTTTTATTTTTTTGGGTCACAAATAAGTTCCTCAATGTCCAACATTCCATTGTTAGTCAAATAGCATTACAATAAAACAACTGGTTCCAACACCATACTATTTAATATGAAGTGATTAGTTTTTCACTATTTCCTAAAAAAGTGCAGTCAAGTTAAGTTGCTGGTAGGTGATCCATGAGATGCCTCTGAGTGCAAAGGGTTAATAATTATTCTTAAAGAATTTACTGACAACTGTTTGCAACATACTCTTTCACTGATTCTAAGACATTTTTATAAACTTTTAAATTGTGGTAAGATACATACAAGATTTATTAACTATTTTTCAGTGTACAGTTCAGTGGTATTAAGTACATTCACGCTGTTGTGCAACCAACACCATCATCCATTTCCAGAACTCTTTTCATCTTGTAAAACTGAAACCCTGTACCCATTTAACAATAACTCCTATTTCCCTCTCTTTCTAGCCCCAGCAAATATTATACTTTTTGTTTCTCTGAATTTGATTACTCTAGGTACCTCACAGAAATGAAATCATACAGTATTAGTCTTTTATGACTAGCTTATTTATAGGTTTATGCAAGTTGTAGCATGTGTGAGAATTTCCTTTCTTTTTAAAGCTGAAAAAGATTTTGTTGTATGTGTGTCCCATATTCATTGATGGACACCTAGTTTGCCTTCAGTTCTTGGCTATTGTGCATAATACTGCTATAAACACAAGTGTACAAGTACCTCTTCATGTCCCTACTTTCAATTTTTCTGGGTATATACTCAGAAATGGAAATGCCAGGGTCATATGGAATTCTATTTTAAAATTTTTGAGGAACCTCCATACTGTTTCCACAGAGGCTATGCCATTTCACATTTCTACCTACAGAGCACAAAGGTTTCAATTTTTCTATGTCCTCACCAACACTTAATATTTTCTGGGTTTTTTTTTTTTTTTTTTGCTAGTAGTCCTAATAAGTGTAAAGTATTTCACTGTGGTTTTGATTTGCATTTCCCCCAATGATTAGTGATGTTGAGTATCTTTTCAAATGCTTATTAAGACAAACATCTTTTTAAAATCTCTGAAATTAGGCTGCATATTACATAAAATAATGATGAATTATAAAATTAAAGATATCTTAAGGTTATAAAAAATCTAAGATTAAAAAAAGACAATGATGAAACATTCTCCCAGTGATTGTATATATATATATATTTTTAAAGAAACACTAATATTTTCACAGTATGAAGCAAACTAGTAAAACAGTCTTCCTTCTAGGATTAGGTTTCCTACCAGCCTACTCAAAGTCACTGAAAAGTCTGGCAAACCTCACCACTATCTACTGCTAGTTGCCAAAAACAGACATTCAGAAGGAAAAGAGAAAGGGGATGGGGAGGGGAGAACGCTGAGAATTCAAACAACACAGAGATATACTAAATTATGACCATATCCAGCCTATTATGCTTTAATTGGCAGACCAGGTTTCCCATCAGTTTAAGCCCCCTTCCCAAAAAGTCATTTCATTTACAGCCAGGTTGGCATCTAATTAGGCAGCACTAAGGGAATAAGTATTGCCTGTTTTATTTCTGGCAATGCAGATAATTTGTACTGATAATATCCATATATGCATGTTTTGGGGAACTGTTAGAAAAATCACATATACTCTTCTGCAAATGGGATTTTTTATTTTGGACCAACATTTATTAAAATATGAAAAAGGGACACCAAACACACACAAATTACTAATTATAAAGAAATTATTAAGAAGGCTGGCATAGTAGACCCTTTTCTAATATGTACTCTGAAAACACAGGAAAAACAACAATCCAACTTTAAAAAGTCTTCCAGTTGGTTTTCTTCTTTTCACTGAGAGGCAGGCAGAATGGACCATTCCCATCAGTTGGCCTAAGTTGAAAAAAATCTAGAGAAAAATCCTTGCTTCTTGTTCAGTAAACCTAAACACAAAAGCTGTGCATTTGAAGAAAGAAAAGTGGGATGGAATATAAAGGTAGGCTAGAGGGGAAGAGAAGAAATAATTTTCCTAGAAGTTATCCAGAAATCATGCAAAAGTGAACACAATTTTAACTAAAACTCTTCTTATGTAATAGTCAAAGAAACCTCAAGTCCTCAGCCTTGAGCCTCTCCCAGCAAGGTAAAATAGAGGACCACGTGGCACAAGGACCAGGGAGGGTAGGAATAGGGAGGCTGATGTACTATACAGTTCTCTGAACTTGCAAGAGGAAGTGAACAAACCACAAAGTGTCACAAATCTTTTTCTTTAAGGATAAGACTTCTGGCTAACGAAGAATGGCAGAGCTGTAAAAGCAATTGAAGAAAACAGACTATACATCACTCACAGAAAGTGGTGATAAGGACAGTGGGGTCAACTTCCAGCATCAGGTAAAGATCAGAAAGATAACAGTGGGAATTAACTAGTCTCTGCTAATTAGGCTGCCCACCTATGTGCCAAGAATGCCTGCTTAGTACTTTGGAAGTACTTTGAAAACAGTCAGCTTTCTGGGCTCAAACCCTCAGATAGTCCTGATAAATGATGCCAGGCTACTCATTTAGAAACAGCTCCACAACCTGAATGAACAGTGCTGTGGTTCTATTCATCATTAGTATGATAAGGAGTTTCAAATAAAAATAAATGACCCAACGTTAAAATTCTCTTCCCTTGACCACATCACCCCCTAGCTTATCTTAATTACATTAGAGGTAATGGAACATCCAATTTGTGGGCTAATCAGGATGATGAGCTATCCATCTGCCCCATTCCAGCCTATTCTGTTTATACTCATGTCTGCACGTCTGAACCGCTGAATTAGGTGCAAAGAAGAATGCTAACTAGATACTACTGAGAGAATCAGCAGAGCTACTCGACCAAGAACTAGGAGGAGGGCAGTGAGAGTCTGAGGTGAGGTTGGAGGTAGGGACAGAAGTAAAGAAACCCAAGGGACAAGACAAGGGATAACTGGAAGGGTGTAAAGAGATCTCAAAATTGAAAGGAAGGCAAGACACAGAAAATGACAAAACACGGAGAAACTAGTATAAATTAAATTAGAATCAAGTTATTGTTATGTGTGGAAAATACTTATCCTCAACACAAGAAAAAAAGGGAGAGAACTGGGCAACTGAATTAAGAGCAGGTGGGGAGCACGCAGACCCCATTTTCATAAAGGGAAGAGGGCAATATGCTTTGGTTTCACACCCATTTATTATTGAACTGTTGCTGGCTTTTAGAAGCACTACATATGTTCTGATAATATTGTTCTGTTTTTGCTGGGATATACCAAATGGGAAAAGACAGGACACATTTGTGGTTTTGTAGTTTGTTTTCTTGGCATTTCAGCAGGACATTGGCAAGTTATTCAAACATGAAATTGTCACTAAATGCCAGAAAGCCGCTCACCTTTTGTTTGAAAATAATTCTTGCTCAGGGGCAATTTCCTGGTGTCCAGACAGGTCAAAGGTTTCCCCCTAGGCTGGCTCCCAGCACTGGAATGTCTCCCTTACAAACACATATGCACGCATTTTGCACTGTGGTATGTCACCTAAATGTTTTGGCTGGCTGCACATTTAGTCTCAGTATGGCACAATGTTCAGAGACTGCCAATTCCAGAAACACATTCTGTGGGGCAAATGGATTAATAAGGCTTGGTAGCATTTGACAATCCTAATTTAATTTCATTGGTCCTTTACAGCAGGAGAATAAATGTTGGTGAGTAAGTAACTCAACATGTGAACCACAAAAAAACCCTTGTGAAAATATTTTCAAATCTGAATCAAGTGAATTTCTCTATTTCTAGGACTAAGTACTATTGCCAACAATATGCCAACAACAATTAATACAATTCTGGGAATTTTATTCTGATAATGAATAAATAATGCCTTTGGAACATTTCCTGATAAATTAGAACTGGCTGGCCTCCCTGCTGTCCCATCTCACATAAGTCCTATTGACGTGTGTTCATCCCCATAGAATATTTTAATAAAGCACACCTGAGAAGCAGCATTTTTTCACTTTATTATTATTATTATTTTTTTGAGTTGGAGTCTCACTCTGTCGCCCAGACTGGAGTGCAGTAGCTGCTCCCGGTCACCGTAGCCTCGACCTGCTGGGCTCCAGCGATCCTTCCGCCTCAGCCTTCCGAGTAGCTGGAACTACAGGCGCGCTACCACGCCCAGCTTATTTTTGATTTATTGTAGAGATGAAGTCTCGCCAAGTTGCCCAGTGGGTCTCGAACCTGCGGGCTCAGGCAATCCACTCACCCCAGCCTCCCAAAGCGCGGGATTACAGGCTGAGACACCGAGCCCGGTTACTTTATTATTTTTGAACTACACAAATAATAACTAAATCTATTTCACTTGCTGTAAGGGTTCAACATGTAAACAGCAAAAAAGAAGTCTCCCTTTACCCCTACTCTATTTGTAGAGAAAGCCACTGCTGGCAGAAGGTCCATACCCTGATAGCCTCCTTCCTGGGGAAGTTGCCCTTCTAGAACCAACTCCACAGGATATCCAACCCTTCTCTTTGCTCACCATAAGACCCCATGGCCTCAAAATCCTGGAGATAACTCACATATTAGTAAAGTAAGCAATCTTTGAGTATCTTGCAAGCTGCATATGTAATAACTGCTCTGGCTGACAAGTGATGTCGTTGGGCAAATATCAGAGAGTGTACTTACACCCTATTTACCATCGTCTTGAGCACAGAACAGTTTTTTTGTTTTGTTTTTTACTAAGGAGCCTGGAAAAACTGTTAGTATAAAAGGTGGTACAGTTATATTGTGCAGTAAAATTGATAGAAGTTAAGGGAAATTATCAATGACCGTAATTGCTTTTCTGAACTGCTGATTCAGTAGAAACCAAAATATCATTTATATAACAACAATGAAACCAAAGAATCTTCTGGATCCTCCATTTGAAGATTAATTTAATAATTAATCATCCAGTCCAGTGTCTCAGATGCAGTTCAGTCACTAAATGCATAAAGAGTTACAAGTATGGCATTCTCTTTTTTAAAAATGGTTCCTATAGGAGAAAGCTGGGCCTGGGACACAGATTCCAGCTTCCAGAACCTGCCTTCCCCTGGTATGCACATTTTGGGTCACTTTCTTACCCTCTTCCGGGACTCTTCAATGGCAGACAGCAGGGCATTATCCTTCTCATTTTTCAGGAAGCCCTATGAAAGGAGAAAAATTTAATACAACTTAAATTAAAATTAACCTTCCAATAATCAAAAGTATACTATAGGGCAAAAAATAACCATAATGGTATCTGCTACCCTGCCCACCTTCACCTCACAAAACTCTCTCAACTTGAAAACATCAAAATAGATGGTTTTTACAGATGTTTCCTAATCTCTTTAATTCTGGGCACATATGATGATTATTAAAAGGTAAAGTCCCCATGAAACAGTAGTGTGGAGTTCCATGTCCTGTAAACATGTAAAAAGTGAAGTCAAGACTGGCCCTTCAAAATTTCTAAATGATTCACATTGTAAATACAACTTTGGCTATGCAGCCAGTCATAGTTCCCCTAACTGTTCCTTAGTCTGTATTTCTCTGTTGGTTTCAATGAATTCTTCAATTTTTTCCTAACATTGAGAAAGCCATCACTGCCCACTTGTCTGGGTGCTTTTTACTTATTTGCCAATGGCTGGCAACCCCTAAAAATCATTTATTTACATGTTTCTTCCTAGGTTTTGCCATGTGCACTCCTCCCTATTTTAGGTCTGACAACATCCACTTCTTGTTTAATGTAGGTGGGGTGAAAAGACAGTCTATAAGTCTAGTTTAGTATGCCACAGGTTAAACACCTGCAAAATGCAATTACACAATAATACAGTGGTCAAAAGGATAGGCTTTGGAATGTGACAGTTTCAAAATTCTAGTACCTCCATTTACTAAAGGCAGGACTTTAGCCAGGTCATCCAAACTCCCTAAACCTCAGTTTCCTCAATAAGATGAATGTAATCAAGTTCTTGGCTGAAGGGTCAATATATGTAGTTTTATTAATAGAATCAATTAGATTTAGATCTGTTGGTGACTTTCATTAATAAAACAGGTGCCTAGAGAGACCTTCTTGCTACTGTTCATTGTTCTTATTTGCTTGGGCTGAAACCTGGTGGGAAGGGGGAGGAGATACTGTCTTGACAGCCAGCCACAGTTGTAGATAGATTGGGCTGCAGTGGGCTTCCATGTCAATACCCTACCCTTCACAAGAGGGGGTTTCTTTTCTACAGCTTGGGGTGTGGAGGCTGAGGAGGAACAGGGAAGATGATCCACTGACTGATTTGTAGAAATCAAAGTTATGGTTGTAATATGAAAAAATTCAAGTCACCCTACACATCAGATCCACCTACATTCTAACACAAGGTACAAGCATGTCAAGAACACTACCAGTGCATTATACATGTCTAAAATGACCTGTTTTTTTCAGTATCATGTTTTTGGCTTACTAAAAAAACTTTGGGAAAATATAATACAAAGTAAAATTTGGCAAAAGCTTTTAAAATGACAAGCCATGAATAATTATCATAATACTATAAAGAAAGGGATTAGCAACAGCAGGAAACTACCGGGGTGGGGGGGCACACCTCATCAACAAGGGTACCTGCATAATGAACACTTGTATACTTAACCATGAATTATACCCCACATCCTTAAAATTAAAAATTAAAATAAATAAATAAATAAATAAATAAAATGACAAGCCAAATTAAAACATACTTGACAGTTTTCTTGTATTGGAAACCTACTGTCATCATTAACTAGTTTCTGATCATTTATTATATCTTAACAACTGTAATGCTTTAGTATACAGTCATGTGTCACTTAATGATGGGTACATTCTGAGTAATGTGCCTAGTTAGGCAGTTTTGTCATTGTGTGAACATCATCGACTGTACTTACACAAACTTAGATGGTATGGTCCTACTACACACTGAGGCTACATGGTATAGCCAATTGCTCCAAGGCTACAAACCTGTTCAGCTTGTTACTGTACTGAATACTTAGGCAACTATAACACAATGGTAAGAACTTGTGTATCTAAACACGACTAAACATAGAAAAGGTACAGTAAAAATATGGTATTATAATCTTATGGGACCACTGTTGTATATCTGGTCTGTCCTTGACTGAAACATCATTATCCAACACATGACTGTATTTCATTCAGTCTTTTTAAAAAAGATGTCTTTAAATAATGAGGGTGAGGGTTAATACTAGGGATTTAAAATTTTTTTTTAAATTGCAACTCTTCATAGATTCCCCAGGTCCCTTATGTATTGGCCTATGCCTCCCCCATTGTTGTCACACTGCAACCTGGTGGGCAATGCACTGGGATGGACAAGGACAATGGCCAGCAGCCCAGGAAAGAGTTCCCCAATAAAGACTCCTCCAGGGCAGTCTCTCAGGCAATTCTGACGACACAACAAATATTTATACTGATAATGAGGGTGGGAGGTTGAGATGGGGACAGGCATCAGTCATCTGCCTAATAATGTAATGACATCCATAAACCAGAATACCTAAAGCGAGGAACCCATGTGGCCCACTCAGAAGGGGGCAGCTTGTCACCACATGCCTACTTCTGCCCATGACAGGGGAGCCCGACACAAAACAATGGAAGATATTAATGGACCTTGTTTATACCCTTCACAGCAAATGACTGTGTCAAGTCAACAAACCTTTAGTATGAATTCCCTTTCATGAATGACCTTTAGTGGTTGAAACTAAAGGCTTTAGTGTCACCATTTGTAATCAAAGTTATATAACTATTATCATTGACTGATGTTTCTGAACAAAGGGTAAGCACAGACTGTGCTCTGCTGCACCTTTACATGGTTGCCACTATGCTGCAGATTGTCTAAACAAGCCACGTTTGGTGGGTGGAGGGATTTCTGTTTGGCTGGTGAAGGGGTGGGGCCTGGTTAAATTCATTGTTCTGCTCCACCTCTTTTCTGACTTCTTTTGCTCTTCTAAGTCAATGACCAGCCCATGCCATTCTTTCAACTGTACCCACATCTACATATGTCTCTCACACAATTAAAACGCAAATGCAAAGCAAGAATCAGATACATTTGTGAAAAGCAAAATAATATTCTGCAAAAAAAAAAAAAAAATCCTGAAATTTCTAAGACATGATATCTCAAGTAGGAATGAAAAAAAAAGAAAAAAAGACATTGCTTTGAGATAGATTACTCTTGTCTTTAAAATGTTTACTATAAAGTTACATTTTTAAAAACCCAATGAATTAAATGAAGAATTTATGTGTGTCAAATTTTAGACTTCACCCACATAAGAACAAAGTCCATTAACCATGATGTACTTCAAAAATTAGGCTTTCTCGCCAGGGAATATTGGGTAATCCCAGCACTTTGGGAGGCTGAAGTGGGAGGATTGCTTGAGCCCAGGAAGGAGTTCAAGACAAGCTTGGGGCAACATAGTGAAAACTTGTCTCTACAAAAAAAGACAAAAAATTCACTGAGTGTGGTAGCACAAGTCTGTAGTCCCAGCTCAAGAGGCTGAGGAGGAAAGATTGGTTGAATCCCGGAGTTTGAAGCTGCGGTGAGCCATGATCGTGCCACTGGACTCCAGTCTGGGCTACAGACTCAAAAAAATAAATAAATAAAATAAAATCGAAAGGGTTTTTCTCTATAGCACAAATTGAGTCCACAAAATAAACTTAGAAATTAAATTTTTCATCCTTTCTAAAATGAAACACTAAAATAGGTTACACTTCATATTTTATTTTAAAAAACAAAATACTAGTGGCTTATCTTTTGAAAAAAATATTAATAATTTGTAGTCAGAATAGTGCTGGGATCTGTGTGCCACCTAGTGGCAGTTAGTTTCTCTTAAACACCACACACATTAAGGAAAAGTTACAGCCCACTGGAATTAAAGAACTAAAAAGTTGGGCAGAAACATACCTGCTTCAGCCCAGGTTTCCCCCCAGATGTCTTTCTTGACTTCCCATTTTGTAGTGTTTTCTTTCCTTGCAGATCCTGTGAGACACCTCTCATGCCCTCACTCGGGAGCTGTACTTGTACAGCTTTTCAAACAATGAATTCTCTGAAAGGGAGCTGGTGGCATAAATGGTGAGCTGGCTTCTTGCCATTCTGAATTCAGCCCTTGGGCACAGAGAAGGCCTAACAGCTCACCTGCTTGGACATGGCAGTGGCTAATAATGATCCATCGCTGGTATCTCCTCATCTCAACAAGCACTTTTTAACTGCTTCATAGTTTCTCACCCTCCCCTTCCACTGCCGGTCTTCTCAATAAAGAAGACCCAGAAACATCTGCAGACCAGCTAGGTAAGATGACTACTCCTGACTTCCCCATCTGTATACAGTTCCTCATTGCCAGTCCTGGAAACAGACCCTCTTCTAACTGCCTCCCTGAATGTGTTTTGGTTTCTAGGTTTCTATAACACATAATAGCTCCCATTCAGGAGGCAATTAAGGGTCAGACACTGCTCTAGGCAATCCAAAGACATTATTGCTAATCCTTCAACAATATGAAAGAACAGACATGATCACCCCACTCTGCCCTTCACCCCTCCTCTGCCCAATTTTACAGGTAGGAAACTGAGATTTCAACATTCAACTAACTTGACCAAGGATTCCTGACCAGGAAGAGGCAGAAGCAGAATATAGTTCTGATTCTCAGGACCAACTTAGGGAATAGTAAACCTCTAAATAGCAAAAAGTAACATTTATTTCTCTCTCTAAAAGGCAGCACCCAATAGGAAAACAAAATATTCTTAAATTTGTCTTCTTCAGGTATTACTTCTTCTTTACAAATGATGAAGTTAAGGCTCAGAGAACACTATTACTCATAGCAGTATTAGTAGTGGCAAACAAGTGGTGACTATTTTATGTCAGGCATATGAAGGGAGACCAAAAAAAAGCCCAGAATTATCTTTTGATGGACAGGCCCCTTATAGTACACTTGGAATTTGTTCCTTCAGATCGAACAGTCAACTAAAACTTTTATCTGGAAGTTTTGAGAAGGTTTTGTCACAATTTGAGGAAGAAATGTCCTGTTGTGGCAAACAAGTGTCTGGTTCTTCCATCATGACAACGCACCTGCCCACAGTGCACTGAGTGTTCAGCAGTTTTTGACCAAAAATGGGCAATGACCCCCCCCATGCCCCCACCCTCCCTATTCACCC